AGTGCGATAATGCATAGTCTACCTTTTCAGAGATGAAAGATAAAATAGTAGTTTCTTCTGTAAGAAAAATTTTCTTTTGATCCAACAGTAATGCCAAAAATGTACTTGACTCTAGCAGAAAAAACATCTTACTTATTTAATCCAGATTATAAATCACAGGATTTCTACTTTTGAACATGACTTTAAAGTGTTCTGTGCTTTTATCTGTTCTCCAGCTCTTGCCTATGGAGAAAGGTGCATTTTACACTCTATGTACAAGCTATGACACAGATATTCACAAATCATCAGTTGAATATTTTCCATATCCACAAATGGCTCTAAAGCTCTCAGTTTCATAACAAAATGCTTTGAAATGTTATTTCATCATATATGTTCATGTGTAAACACTAATTTCATCAGGCTGTAGTTTGATGTTACAAAAGATGTGTGACAAAAGTATCAGTATCTGGAAAAAACTACCAAAAACTCACTGAAAATATGGATAAATACAACTTAATACCATATATTTTCTTTCCTTTACATTGTCAGTTCTTGGTTAGAGGCAAATTATATTGTATTCCTTTCTTGTCAGAATTGTATGGCCTTAAACGGTTTACATTGAATGGCAATTAATGAAAGTAACAAGGCAGTTTTCTCTTTTTCCAGCTTTACAACTTCAAACCAGCTCAAACACATGAGTAAATGTGATAGGTGTTTGGGTTTTTTTAGTAGAGAAAATTACTGTTTTCAGAAATTAACACTGATTTCCATGTGAATGGTATTATGTATCACATTATCAGTGAGACTTTTATGTAGCAAATATTACAAGATGTTTTAACTTCAGTTACACGGCTGTTTGTTACTGGTGTTTGCTTTTCATCTCAATATCTTTTTGAAAATTTACAAAAAGATTGTAACGTTTATATATGCCAAGTAAGAAATAACATTAAACCTTTCAGCAGGAATTTTAAGTTTGTTTCTTTTTAGAAAGTGTCTGATAGTCTACGTAACCTTTTAGTGGTGTTTGAAGTCCTTACTTCTTAAGGAACAGAAGTTTCTCTGCTAACATGTGATATACAGTAAAAGAGAAAGCTGAAGCATTTTTAAGCATTTGTTCAAATGAAAAATGAGATTACTTATTTAGCATAAAGTACATCAGTATTTATACCTGCATATTTAAGAAGATAAACATTTTTTATACAAATATGTACGCCTTCCTTAAGTTATTTTTTTTGTGATATTTGAATTGAATAATGAATTTTACTGTCCTTAGGATCTATTAATACATAATACTTTGCTGAAACTCCTTTACTACTACAAGTGCTGAGAATTTTGTGAGGGAGAAATGAAGAGAACCTGACTTATTTGTCAGACACTCAGTGATCTCTTCTGACTTCCTCTTCTCAGTTAGTTTTAAACTGGAAAAGAATTTGTATTTGAGGTAAGGGTTTTATATGCATAATTCTTAAAAATGTAAAGATGAATGTATTAAGAATATTAAGAATTCTTAATATTATGAATGTAAAGATGCTGTTAAAAGATAGATCAGTGGGAGTTTTATGATAAACTAGACATTGGACCACGTTCTTTTTAGTAATTCAGCTTAAAGACAAATGCAAAATGTTAATGGAAACTGGACAAGATGAAAAAAAAACTTTTGAAAAACAAAAACATTACTGTCCATTTGATACCTGCTAGACTCCATCTTAGTACTCCATCTTAAACAGGGAAAAGGAATTAACCAGAGAATATGCTGAGTTGGAAGGGACTCATCAGGATCATCAAGTCTAGTTCCTGGCCTTGTGCCTCATAAGCCTATCATTTGTTCTTGGTGGGGACTTGGTATCTTACATTTGTCCCGGCCCTCTGTCTTAGGATGCCTTTTGAGTAATGAGCTAAAGTTAGGAATGGAAAATAGACTATATGAAAATATTAGTAAGGGCAGGGGGAGATGACCTCTTTTTTATTTAAACATGATTATATTAACAAATACAATTTCAGAATTCTGTTGCTTTTTCTTATTAAATTAAATTAACTCATTACTCAGTCAAAATAGTATTGATTGTTTACCAGTTCATCTTAAAATGAATCTTAAATGCTTGAAAGGCATATGTGTGCTATGTTTTGACCGTTGGCAGGAAGAATGGCTAATGTTAAGATGCCAAGGAGTTTCTGAACAAGAAAACTTTTTTCATGTTTTTTCACTTTAATTGACAAAACCAGAAAGTACTGACACAGTCTTCTGCACAGGCTGATTTCTGCAGAGTCCTTCCTGTGCCTAAGAAAAATTTTGTGTGATGACATTTTTTCTATTTACAGATTTGTCACCTTATCTTTGTTAGTAAAAGATCAACCACCTCCATGATGATACCTGAAAAATTCAATTTTTTTTAATGTCTTAGACACTGACTCATTTTCTGCAGGGTTTTGTAAGTCCCTAACCTTTTCCTCTCTAAAGTTTTCACTGAGATTTAGTCAAAAGGATTTTTTTAAAAGTTCTATGAAAATGAAAACAATTGTTCCCTTTCTTTCTTGTGAAGTAAAATGTAAGCAAGCTTTGCCTTTCCTGACTACTACCATCTTTTTCCCTTTGGGGAGGGAAACAACTAGATTTGTTTTCTATTGACAAGATACTAGTAGCTCTTACAAAATCTCTAATGCATTTGTCTTGAAGCATTACAAAAATTGTTTTGACCCTTAGGTGATCTGGGCTTAATTCGGGAAATAAATGCTCTCTGGTAACAATTCTATATCCTTATTAGTTTCTGTGCATCAAATGGAACAGGACAAGATGAATGCTATCTGTACTGAGGAAGATTAGAACCATCTATCTTGCAGGAAAAAAGCCAGTTTGGTTGGTGTTAGCTGAGATATTGTATATTCTGCCTGATCACTGTAAAGAAATAAATACAGTGGTTTACAAAGGGCAGCTTTTAATAGCTATTTCTAACACGCAATGACTGCCAGCAGAAGATGCAAAACAGACATGGTGCTGCACTAGTAGTGAGACAAATATTAATTCAATTTGTTCAATTGTAGCAGTCCTTTTCCTGGAGAATGTCTGTGACTAGTTCATATTGTTGTGAATGCAGCTTGCAACTTTTGTCTTGCTTGGAAGTGCACCCTCAGCTTATCCTGACATGTTTAATCTCAATTTGTTGGGGAAATTTAATTGATTGCAAAGGGGAAACATCTTCTGAAGCTCATAGTGTTACTCCTATAACACTATGAATTTTCCATAATTCCTTCCTTCTTAGTAGAGGAAAATCACCATTTCAGTCTTCTAGGAAGTCCACTGAAGTAAAAGTTGACCTTTTACTTGTTTTCTGTGAAATGCTGTTTCCTGAATGCTAAGATTAAAAAAAAAAAAAAATAATGGGAAAGAGGGGGAGCTCTGTATTGAGTAGAACTCATAAATGCCCAGGAGATATAATGGACAAGAAAACTTATACTTATTTTAATTCCATAATAAAAAATGGTATAAAGAGAGACACAGTAATTTTGCAAGTCAGAATCTGAAACAGAGAGGAAGAAATATTGTATTTGCAGGTTTTGTTGGTATTATAACAGCTTTTCATACCACAGTATAATTTTACAGCCATTTCTTGGGCTTTTCATTTTTTATGTAGTGCTATAAGTCCTTTTTTTTGTTTGTTTTTCAAAAAAACCCAGGTTTATGACGCAGATGAGGTATACAAGGAACATACCTAGAGGTATTACTGGGGGATGGAAATAACTGGGGCATGGAAATAAGTTGAACAGTTCTTATTCCATTATTAGTCAGGTTTCAAAATTACTTGGCGTTGTAATGTTAACTCACTTCTTGATCTATTTTACTATTTCTGCAGCACGGATAACTGTTTTTTACATAGCTGGCTGTCCAATGGCTTTGGTTTGTCTTTATAGAGCTTGAATAAAACTCTTGAGTATTCTGAACACTGTTAACAGTACCTTAAAACTTTACTTATTCTTGTAGATAACTTTATTAAATGCAGGAGGTGGACGTGCTTCTTCACTCTGCTGCATGGTTGTTGCTCAAAGGCTACACAGCAGAATCACAGGAATGCTTGGTTATTGCCAAGAAATGTTGTTCTCATGCTTTTGTCCATTGGATCGTTTTCACACCTCAAAATGTCACATGGATTTTGATAGGTGGTTTTGATATTATTTTCTTTTTATGTGGCATGTAATTCCAGTAAGCTATTGACAACAACAAAAATATAAAGGATTTGATGCTGATAAACACCAAGGTCACAGGTTTGATCCCCATATGGGCCATTCACTGAGGAGTTGGACTTGATCTTTGTGGTCCCTTCCAGCTCAGAATATTCTGTGATTCTGTGTGAATTTTTTGCAATGCTGTTTACATTCTAGCTTGTAGCTACTACTGTGAGACCTCTTTCTTTTTATGATAGCACTTTGCTTGTAAATAATTTGTAATCTGTCTTTGCAGGGAAGCTTTAAAAAATTAGTTTTCTTTTTAAGGAGTGTAGTTTCTTGCAGTGCTAATAATTTTAATTGCTCTGTGTACTTGATGGGAAAAATATTTGCGAATAAGCTTTGGAACAGCAGAGTAAAACATTTAAGTCTTATTTATTATAACTGTTTGATCTAGAGGCCCATTTCTTGACACGTGTGTGCATGCTGGTCATAGAACCAAGCAGACACTACATAATTATTACAGGTTATCATCTCTGTATTGCACTGTGGTGGCTTACAATGGAGGTGTAAACATAGGACCACTATTCTGTTTTCCATTTGTTTTTACCAAACAACCATTTGCAGCAGCTTCTGTTTCTGCCCATTGATTAGGAAGGATGACACCCGGGATAGGTCACATAACCCTTTAATCTCTTGTCTGACCATGAAACGCCAGGTGCATTGCTATTGCAAGGGGTTTGTGCAGTTATGTAACTCTACTACCTGCGCACCAACTTTCATGTGTGTTTTATAAGTGATTTGCTGATTTCTGTATGTGTGATTCTCACATTTTTGAAAACTTAACCCATATTTTTCATTGCAGCTCTGAGTGCTCAGAAGTTAGAAGTTAGTAGTTGTTTAAAGAACACTTTCAGAATCTCTGACCACTGAAAAACTGTAAGTGAAAATAATTTTCTACTATAGGCACAGTACCCATGCCCTGTAACAGATATGTTAGCCTATGACAAAATTAGTGATTCTTTTAACATGAATGTAAGGATATTCCAACAATTTCTTCAAGTTTCACTTTTCTTAGATTTAGAGACTGAGTTTTATACCTTAAGCAGTGATGGGGTTTAGCTGATCATTCCCTATAAAGTAGATAATTCCTTTCCTGTCTGAATATCTGTTTGCCAGGCTGTCAGTAAAATTATGTCCAAATGATGATGACATGAAATACCATTCTCTATATAGGTTACTGGCATGACTGCTCTCAAGGTTTGTCCTGCCCAGTGTTTTTGACAGGCTGGGGGAAGGAGCATTTCTCCCAGGAGATCCATTAAATATATAGGGTTGCAAATTGACAACGACTTGTTACTATGTCTTTGTCCCTCTATATACATCTCAACTTGTACAAAATACATCAGAGAAGTTGTATTTAATATACATGAGCAATGAAGAAGAGAGCATTTTGCACTGGCTCTGCTTTCCCTTTCTGCTGAACCTTTGTACACTACCTTGCATCCCATTTGAGAGTCCAAAACCAAAGTAGTATTTCTACCTACAGCATCTGAACGTGAAATAGAAAGGCAGAAAGAAAGAGAGAAAACAAGCTAAGTGTCTAAAGTATGAGAAATTTCCAGTCTATCTACGAGTGAATATGTGGCCTGTAGTTCAGAGAGGACTGGATTTTTTTTTTTTCAAGTTGTCAAAGTTGATTAAATTGTTTCAGATGAGAATTTTCTCCCACTGAATTTTAATCAATGAAATGATGATATAAATGCTCTTTTATGTGGTTTGACATCATTGTGGCAGTCTGAATAATAGAAATGATAAGCATGGTTACCACTGACTAGTTTATTAGCATTATCAGTTTCACAGTAACTGACCTTTTCCCTCTCCGCCTCACTTCTCTTCATCTGTCATGATTCATTTTGTAGCATCGATTTCCTTTTACTGTAACAGTTTGTATGTGGCAGACTTCAAATCCCAGTTTTCTCAGCCTCACAGTTTCTCACACAGTGTTGAGAAACTTCTAGCTGTATTTAAAGAAAAATGGGAAAGTTATTTCTAATTGGGTCCTCCTGAGAGTGTTAAAAATATAAAATGTAACTTACTACTAATAACCATTTTATTTTGAAGTACTAAACTTAAATTTTAAAATTATGTGATCAATATTTTTTACCAAATTTTAAGTTGCTACTGTCACTTAAAATCTGTTTCTTATGAAATTGTTATGGAATTCAACTTGCAGAATTTTACATAAATTCTTTTTTTTTTGTTATTATTATATTAACTGTGCCTCTAAAACATGGTTTGATTTTTATAGGACATGATTTCTTAACAGTAATAGAAAAGCGTGCTTGGGTGTGTAACCATGCATTCACATCTCAGTTTCAGTTCCCTTTTGCTATGCACAGCAACCTGGGTGGGAAAGCTACAGCATCTCTTCCTCCTGTGGTAAATCTGCACTTCAGACCCTTTATAGTTTTTATACAATCATAGTCATGTAAATCATCCCTACTGAGGTTTTTATGGCTGTATAGATGGGAGGTTCCCTAAGATATGGCACTTGGGTGGTGAACTGTGTTTCATATGTATGATGTACACCTCTGGCTTGTTTCCTAAATAATCAACTTTTCCCATCAGTAAGATTATTCTAAATAAACTATAGCACACTTCTACTAAGTCTGAAAGACATACTTTTTTGGGTCTTATTACCTATAAAGTTCTACATGTTACATTGTGGTTTGCAGTTTAAATTAATACTTTTTAATTCTTAATTCTTCACTGCCAAAATGGGAAAAGAAGTAATCTTAAACATCATTGTAAAGTAAGTCCTAAGGGAGTAGGACTTGGTCTTTATCATAAAATCTGCATGTTAATAGATCAAAAGTCTTTCACTATCCCAGTGGGACTGGCATTTTCAATAGAACACATGTGGAGGAAAATAAAACACAATTACTAAGAAATTAACAGCTGAAAATGGGATATTGATTTGAACTGCAGTCAAACATGATTTGGTTTTCTTTCATCTAATTTTGAATCATCTTTTGTGGTGGACTCCTGAGTCTTTCCCTGTATTAGATATGTTTTCAAATCCCAACTTGCTTAAGGTTAGCATAATCTTAATGCGATAGTTTTGCCTTAAGATCTACTGACAGTTGTTTGCCAGTGTAAGACCATCATGTCAGAGTATCTTGATTATTCAAAATTATCCAAGCTCAAGATGCTTCATTTAAGATTGGCGTGTTAAATGAATAAGCACAAGCATATCGCCTACGATTGTTCTGAATTTTTGAAAGACCGAGATACAGAGGAGTTGCCTGAGTGCCCGTGTAGGTGCTTAACTGTGACACTCAGGGCAACCAAGTTTCATTTAAATGCATATACACTTTTAGGGTAATTGCTCATAAACCTATTTAGGTCATCAGATGTCAGGTCTCAATATGCTAAAGCAGTCTTTGATGGCACAGGGTAGGCAGGTGCCCTGCCTTTTGTCTCCTCTGTCAGAGTATGGTCAGGTTTCTCCAAAATGGTTTTTCTACAGTTATTCCAGTAAGTTTAAATTGTGCGATGAAGGAGTATGTAACAGGACAACCCTGGCCATAACTGTTGCTCAGTTTTCCCTTTTACTTAAGGAGGGCTTTAAATCCAGTGAAGTCAGTGTGGAATTGCCTGGGAACACTTAGATTAGACTTCTTGGTTATGCAGATTCCCATTGCAATCCTAACAGCTACAGCATTATAGTGTTTTGTTTTGCAAGGTGAATGTGGGGTCTGGTTAACTTTGCCAAGTGACAAAACTGGTCTTGGAAATGGAAAACATGAATGAAGATTTTTCCAGAATAAAGGAGGACAGAACAAAGGGAGTTTCTGGCCTTTGAGAGAGGTAATCCTGGGTTTGACATAGGATTGCATAGGCTCAGAGAGATTTTGGAGCATTTTTGTGTATTGTTACTAGATTTTCTCCATAGAACTTATGAGTAAATAAAAATTGGTTTAAAAACAAACCTCTGCATCAGTATTATAGATTACTTGGCATCCCCAAACACATCTCAGGGCTTTCTTGATGCTACATTGAAAGTTTATGGACAAAATAGATATTGTAAACTCTTCATTGTAACATCACAAAACTTAACGAATAACAAGAATTAAATTGTTATAATTTAATGTAGATCTACTATATCTACTTTTTACTGCCTTCTGTGCATCAGAATTCCTCTGAAATCTTTGTTTCTTGGCTATGCCACATTTCTGTATGTACACACAGATTGCTCATCTCTAAGATTCATCAGTCTAAAACTTCCCTCCAACACATCTTTTTTTTTTCCTTGAAATTGATTTAAATACAGTAGTGTGTGTCATCTAGATAAGATTTTACATCCACATGAAAGAAGTTTGCTCAAAGGAAATGAATTATGATCATTTTTCTATGCATTTCATCCCACCACTTATTTTTGGATGGAGAAAGTTGAGGGTTGTTTCTCTCAAGTGAAAGAAAAAAGATCTGGTTAGAAAAGAGTATGAAAAAAATGTTTGGTTGTTTTTATGCAGCTGCTGTCTTTAATATACAAAGCAAGTTGTTTTCATTTATACTAGGTTATTTATATAAACTACTCGTAGATATGCATGAAAGTACACTTGGGCTTATGCAATTTGGTATGACAGTCTCCTACAGAAAAGCGTTTGTTAGACCTTGGTGTTTGTTTGACTTTAGTATCTGTGACTTATCTTTTTCTTTCAGGTTTTAAAGGTCTGTCCAAGTATAACATTTTTAAGGGGCTTTTTGTTTGTTTGTTTTTGTTTGTTTTGGGGGTTTGTTTGTTTGTTTGTGGTTGTGTGTTGATGTGTTTTGTTTCTAGAGAAATCATGTTAGGATCCTTTTGTTTACTATTAAGTTTAAACTTACAGCCTTCTTTTTATGCCGTGCTTACATTTTTCTAAACCCTGTGCATATTAAACTGTATGCTTTTCTTCTTCTCCATTGTTTCCTTTTATCAAGAGTCTTTTATTCATCAGCGTACCCTTGTCCCACTTCCTTACCATGTGCTTCTTCAAACTGAAGCTCATTTAGGGTAATACTTTGCATCTCGGAAGCCTAGGCTCCTTATCTGTGCTGACAGGCAAACAAAGGATCCCTTAATACTTTTCACACGTGTTCCAACTACACCTATAATCACACTGAAGAGGCAAATAGAGTCATTAAATTGATATTACATGTCATTATTTTATCTTACCATGTCAGCCCTCAGCAATTTGCCAGGCTTACGATATTGGGAACCAAAATGGGTCTAATTAATGGGCAATGTGCTTGTTTATTTTAGAATTTCCAAGTATCTTGTAGGTGACAAAATAAAATCCAATTATTTTGATATTTTATTAAGTGTCTTGTCAGCCATTATATAGTTACTTCTTATGAAAAAAAAAAAAAAAGACAGTCTGAAAATTATGGCTATCAGGAAGGTAAAGCCAGTTGATATTTTTTGTGAGAATAACAATTGCAATGTAAGTCTTGAGGAAAGAGAAACAGATGAAACAGTACTGTCAGACTACAGTGAATGCTGTTTTTCCTACTGTGTACAATTATATATAATTAGATATGTCCTTTTTACATTATGCTGTCTCAAAAATTAATTCTACCTATCTAGGTACTGAATGAACTTGTAAATAAGATAGCAAGACCAACATAGTCTGGAGAAATAATTAGTAACAATTTAAAAGATATTGTTCTGTTGGGGTAAATCAATAGTAATGGAGATGAATAAATGGGTGGAAACCTTAGGTAATTACAAATCCTTTAAATTATTCTTGAATTAGAAAGCAGAAAAAAAGAACATATTTAATTACTTTTACAGATTCATTAGAAGAGAACTTTCTGAATTTGTTCTTTGTTCCTTCTTCCCTAGAATACACTTTTTTAGGCAGCAAGTATTCTGTTTCCTGTACCTTGTTGGACTTCTCATGCAAGTTGGTTACCTAGGCTAGACACAGCAATCCAGATACTTTGTTTTTTTCCCCCCAAAGATGAGTTATAAACATTACTGTGAAGAACAGATTTCTTATTGTGTTAACTAGGTTCTCTCCTCTGATTTAAGATTGTTTATTTTTGTCACAGTTCTTGGTTTTGTATCACTTTAAGAAGGAAACACTATTGTTCTTTTTGGTGTTCTGTACAGTCAAGAGGAACTTTTAAGAGATTCTGAATTTACCTTTACTTAGTGGAAATGTATTGGTATGTTTAAATGGGGCATGTAATTGAAAAAAAAAATCAAATAATCTGCTTTTTTATTCTTGTGCATTGCAAAAAATTCTCTTTTTTGTTCTGGCCCCTCCCCGGGCAGATGGAGCTCGTTAGCCCTGTAAGGCAATCCATCTACGTCCTGAGGACCTCGCTGCCACCGTCCAAGCGTGCTTGGCCCCGGCAGGTGAACCTCAGGATTAAAGGGTGGGCTCAGTTCCGCGCACACTGTGTCTCACCTAAAAAATCCAATGCGCAGGCTGGAAGGTGGAAAGACCTTCCCCGGTTCTTCGTTTGCGAAGACTGGCCATTTACTTTACCATAGAAAGTTCTATTTTAACATGTGAATATACTGTCTAGGTTGTACTTTTTGCATTATTGTTTTTAGTTTTAGTTACAGAAGTATTTTCTCATGGACTTCTGACGTGTATTCCAGTATCTTTAGAAGATCTGATAGCTTCACAGTGTTTTTTCTATATCTGTAAACTGGGTGTTGCAGAAGAGTTATTATGCTTTATGATGCATCATGAGGAAGAGAAATCCTCAAAGGGCAAAGATGTGTCAAGATTGACTCTAAAGTTACTATCACCTAAATTAAAATTAAGCAGAATGAATTGGAAAGCAACTAGATAGTATTCTATGCGTCAGACTGGTAGTTTGCTTTTCCTTTTTTACTTTAAGAGGCATCAGAAAGATTTTGCATTAAAGCATTTGCTAATTGACCTAAATGCTTTCTTGGTATAAACTATGCTGAGTTGTTACTGAAGACGACCATTCTCAGTCAAAAGCTATGAATGACTGCCATCTCAGTTAGTGTTTTGGGTTTATAGGTGAGAGACTGACTCAGTCCTTAAAATTTTGTTTAACCTTTCTCCCATCTTTAGCTGGAAAGGCAACTGGTGCTGCAGAATCTGATGAGAGAGAGACAAATAGCCATGCAGATTGCTTCGACACGGGAATTTCTCAAATATTTTGGGACATTTTTTGGACTTTCTGCTGTAGTTTTAACAACTGGGTAAGAAGTTTATTTCCTAATGGAAAATATAAATATATTACATATGAATTTCTATATTGCTGGATTTTCCTTTTGCTACTACAACAAGTAGTTATTTTTATCCAGTAATTGTTCAGAAGTTGACCATATGAAAAAGGGCATCTGAATTCTGTCTGCTTCTGGATGTGTTGTGGTTATGTCTGTACTGAAGACTTATTTAAAAGCAGAGCCATGTGAGCTGACAATAAAATGATACATATGAAGTAGCAAAAGTTCAGTGAAAAGTAAAAGTTGTGCGTGGAAGAGGAGAGATTGCTCAAAAGCCATGCTATTTTCTTGTCTGTACTGTGATTTAATATACTATTAATGAGCAACAAATTCTCTATGTTTTTTAATGCAGTGATGTATCCTGAAGTCTACTTACTTAAATTTGAATCAACTGACCCAAGGGAAAAAACCCCCCGGCTAGTAAAGCTGTATTTCATAGGCAAGAACATGCCTTACAGTACTTTTGTTTGAAAATATGTTTTTCTTGTCGTGTAACATGATTAGAAGGAATGTAGGAAATATTTATGGCTTTTTTTACACAGTACAGATTAAATGCACTTTATGCATTATGCATTCTTTTTAGACTCTGATGCATTTAGAAGTGAGCACAGTTATCTACATTGTTACATGTTACATGTAGCTGGGTATATGCATTGTGCACATGCAAGTTATATGAGTTAGATAATCCTGTTTTTGTTAGGTATACTCAAAACACACTTTAAGCATTTTTTGAAATATCCTTGGGTTGAGCAAGAAGGCAACCAGAAGACAAATGCTTCCGAGGAAATTAAGGCTTGTTCTTTAATTAGAGATTGTAGGAGGATACAAAAGTCCCAGACAGCCAAGGTAAACCTAAACTAACAGTGCTGATATGCTGAATATCCAAAATAATATTTTTCTTTTTTTTTTTTCTTAAACACAGAGCAATGAAAAAGAAGAACCCAGCATTTTTAATGCCAATACTTCCATTAAGCTTTGTTTTTACCTATAATTGTGATATGGGATATGGGACAATGTTGCAAAGGATCAAAGGTATGTAAGTATGTCCTGTTCACACACAGAACCGAGCTTCAGATAACCTGCTAAGTTTTTTTAAAATGACTGGGAGAAAACTTGCAATAGATTTTTTTTTTTGACAAAACTCTTATCTCTCATTTTTTTCTCTTCCCTATTAAAATCAGATGTTTTCCTAGTCAAAAAGACACTCTACTTTTGCAGCCTTTCCCTTCAGTTAAGACTGTTTTCTCCTCTTGTTTCAAAAAAATTGAATTCTAAGGCTATAAATACAGCTGAAGTAAACATTGCATAATTGGGAGAAATGACAGATCTAGTCATTTCCTTCTGTATTCCACTCTGATGCTGCTGTTTTGGCAAGAGTTAAGGATGATAAGAATAGATAAAGGGATACAGACAGGAATCATGTCCTTACACCTTCATGACCAAACTCAGTTATCAGCTGATCATCTTTTTGCAATGCCCTGCCAAGATTAAGAAAGGTGAGTCCAGAAAGTGGGATCTTGCCTCATGGTTGCCACTGGTGTATCTGATTTAGTGATGGGTGTTGAGGATTACAGAGGTGCATTTATATTAACTCTCATTTGTAGTGAAGGAGACGTGCTCAGTGAGTGTTCATTGTAAGTGAAGACAGCACAGGGCTGTGGCTTGTCACCTTCACAAATCATCTTAGTTGGCTTGATTTTCTTATCTGCTACTGACACAAGTATACTAAAACAAAATAAAAATCTGTTTCAGCTCTTGGTCTTTAGCCTTCAGATCTAACAGCTAGGTTTCCTAACTCTGGATGCTTCATTGAAAATAATGGTCAGTTAATTAGACAAAATCTGTGGTAGTTCCTTCTTCATACAGGTGCAAATATATTTAGGTGATGCAGGAGTGTATATCTGTGAACATTTCCTCAACCCCACTAAATAAATTTCTTTGGATTTTAATACAGAGACGCAGCTAAGCACAGGGAGAAAACATTGGTTGGTTCTTGGAAATCAGTGTTGAAAAGGAGAGTAATACACACTGTGCAAAAAGAGCACTGGGAATTTAGGATTTTTATGTAATGTGTTTACCGTGTACCATGTGGTACATATATAGGTTGAAGAGGGGCAATGTGGTATCCTGTTGCTTTCCAGATAGGAAAAGTTGTCTTCACCACTTCAGATCCATTAGGGGAACTTTAGCAGTATGCAAGGCTTGTGAAAAGGTTTTGGAGAAAAGCTATGGAGCCGAATGGAGAATAAGCTAAAATTAAATATGCCAAACTAACTATGTGTTTTTCAGGAAGATTTTTTTTTGTCCCAAAAGAATTATGGTAGATCTACTGTAAACTCATGAAAGCATTTGGTGTGGTATCACATGAAGATTAAGTTACTGTGAGGGACATGGAAATTAGTAGACAGGTAAGCACTGGACTAAAAAGATGTCAAAGGTTTGTATAAAAAGGAAGATTAGTCTTTAGCAGGAGTATTAACAATAATCCTCAAGATTTTGTTTTTTCTTTGAAATTATGAGTACATTATACTAATCAAATCTATGGGTGACAAACTTGATTAGTATCATCAACAGAGAAGAAATAAACTGTAGTGCAAGAAGAACTGAATGGCCTGAAGAAATAAGACAATAAAATAGGATTCCATTTGATAAGGTCAGAAAGAAGCTAGAAACCATTAGGGATTTCTACCATCAGTGCTTACCAACAGGAAATGAAAAAAAAAAAATTATTAAAAAACTTGGATGCATTAAAAGATCACAGAATGACTATGAACCAGTTGTGTTGTGAAACTGAGAGCTGAGCAAAGTCTAGAAACATCAGGTGAGGTTTCCTAGTATCACAGTATGGTTCAGGTTGGAAGGAACCTCTGGAAGTTGTCTGTTCAAACCCTCCTACTCAGGCAGGATCATCTACAACCAATTGCCGAGGAAAATGTCCAAAAGGCTTTTAATACCACCAGGGATGGATATTCCACCACCTTACTATAAGTAGAGCACAGATGAGAAAGTATTGATGCAGGAAAATAATGCCTTCTGTGGACATTTATATGTAATTTGGATCACCCCTATAAAAAGAATGTGGAATTATACTGAAGAACTGAAATTAGGGAATGCAAAGCTACTTTGCAAGAGAAAACAAAGTGATTGTTTTATTTAGCCTTGTAAAGAGGCATGGGAGATTTGGGTCTACAGATCCTACTTACAAGATAGAATAAAGGAAAGTAAGAGAAGGAAATAAACTAATTACCAATATCAACAGTAGAATAAAAGGAAGTGGACTAGCCTGAATGAATCTTGTCTGGAAATCAGGAGTTCATTTGTATTTTAAGATTAAAATTATGTAGTTGAAGAGAAGGTTTTATGTCAGAATTGACCTGCAGCTGCAATCCTCGCTCTCAAAATTCAGCTGATCCCTTTGTCCACTCTTATAGATTCTAAACCACTTCTCTGCTTATCTGTCTGTTCTCTTTGTGTATGCCATGCTTCATTTTTCTGGTGTAACAATGAATGTATTCTCTTTGTTGTTCCTTCTCTAACTGGTATCTTTCCTCCAGGGTATGCCTATCTTCAGCCTCAGCCAATTCCTTCTCCTAAGCTAATCTACAATTAGTTCTGTTCTGCACAGTGAACTTTGTATTTGAACCACCTTGATCACATAGGTCTGTATCTGCTGTCCTTCGTCCGTTGGAATCATTTTATACCCCTGGAGGGTTTCGCTGTTTTTCTTTCACCAGGCATTTTGTATCTGATATTCCTTAGAGTTAATTTTTTCTTCTGTCTCTAGCCTACATGTCCAAACATTTATCTCATGACTGGATTATTCTTCCACATTGAAATCAAAGCGGTATTTTTTCCCGCTTTATAGCTTGGGCTAATTAAAGCCCGAAACCTGAGGACATAAGGGGAAACACTTGAGTTCTGCTTGTGCTGTGCAAAAAGCCCCAAGTGTGCCAGGGCCATATATCAGAATCTTTGGGGGATGACAGGGTTACAGAACAGCCCCTAGATGCATTATCTTTTCTGAATGTCTGAGGACACAACACAGACAGTCACAAACCTGCTATCTGTGTTCTTGGCCTTGCTGTTTTGCTTTTCCTCCCAGTCCAGGCACATACTGCTGGTGTTTTTCAGACAAATGATTAGAGGAATTATATAGCCAGCATCGAAACAAACAGAACTTCTCCCCTAAACAGTAGAACTCTATCTACCTTCTCCAAGATTTCGATAGCTCTGTCCTCATATCCTGAGCTGTGTGAGAAGGATGGTGACTGGGCAATGTGCTCTAGTGGATGTGAGTGGCAAAGAGATTTGCTTATCTACATCTCTCTGTCACCTAAGATCTGTTGCTATTTCATAATCAGATGCTATATGCAACTGACTGACATTGTGTTATTACAAGTTGCTGGGAGTGGTAACCAGTGTTGGATATTACTGATGTGCAGAGGTCCCAGGCACTGCACTACTATCAAAGTTGCAGTTTGAAGATTTTGGCATTCAGACCTGTTTTGAAGAATGACCACAATCTTGACTGCATTGCAATATTCAGTCAGGCTTACTGAACATAAATACAGTTTCAAATTGCTGCTGTAAGAATCATCAAGCTAGGAGTTAAGCCATAGGTAAACAAGATTGTTGGCATTGTACCAAATGGCATCAGGCAAAACAAAAGCATTCTTTGCATTTATCTTCATAATTTCTTACAATCGGAACACCACAACCTACGTGTGATGTTCAGTCTGTATCTTTGTTTTTTGGATTCTCTGTCCTAGATGTTTTCATTCCAGCCTTACTGAGAGCATTCTGCACCCTACAAACTTTCCCTTGCTATGGTGTTAAGACTGCAGGTTTAGGTAGCTGTCTTAGCAAATCTTTTTGTGAGCAGTTGCTTTGATCAGTGCTTCTGCAAGTCCTGTGCTGCCCACTTTCTGGCTGTAACCTGATGTCTTTTAGCCTAGGCCTGAGACAAAAAGAAAAGCTGTGCCCAAATACTGCACACCTACAATACTGTACAGATTTACTTGTTAAAGCTTACATATGCCTTTTTATACATGTCTGATTCACCCTCTTCTCACACTCCTAATTATCCCACCTGTGCAGAATGCCTTAGAGAAAACCTTACTGTTATACTGACATCAGTTTGTTTTGTTTGTAAAATGTATAGCTGTGATCTGCTCAGTTGTTATTCTGATCCAAACAAGAATAGCTAAATCAGTTTCTTAACTTTTTTTCCTCCTTTGCTTTTTCACTGTAAGATTGACAAAATTTACTCAACATTTTTTGGTTTTGTTTGTTTTGGGTTTTTTTCAGGTGAAGCAGAGAACATACTTGACACACAGAGTACTTTGTTAGAATTGCCAAAAGGACCTCTCACTTTTGAAGATCTGGAGAAAATCAGATCTCAGACCAAGTTCTTCAGAGAAAAATAAGAAGATGGTATTAAAGTTGCATATCTGAAATGTGATTATAATATTGGATTTGGACACAAATGAATAACTAAAAAAATTGAGAAAATTATGAGTTTTATACAATGAAAATTTAATTCATTTTTTTAAAATCAGTACTTTCTAGAACAATGGTTTTAATATTATATCAAAATATCCATTATTGCTGTAATATATTTTTCTTGTTTATAATGAAATATTGAATTTCCATTGTCTGTTCAGAGTCTGAAAATAACTTTCACCTCTAGCAAAAATGTCTGGTACTGACCAAACTCAGTATCATCAATAAAGATACGTTAATTGGTAGTTATAAATTTTTATAAATATGGTCATAATTTTCAAATACATTTCAAGATGCACAGCTCAATTTGAAGTCAGAACAGTCAATTTCTTTGAAAAATATGACATTTTTTATTAGCTGTTCTTTAGGCAGTAAACTCACCATCTTTGCTTCAAATTCTGGAATAAACAGCTTTTATCAGAAGCAGATTCATAAGTAAACATGTCACTTGCTAACTGTGTGTTTTAGGGGAAACTGTGTTAAAAGTACGAGCAGAGACAGTTTCTCAAAAAGAGAAAACAAATTATGTAGTTATTTCCTGAATCTTTTTCATGCTTGTTTGACATTCTGAAACTCAGGATAATTTGTTTACATGAAATCAGAGTTTCACTACTAAGATGAATATTAACTTAGGCTAACAGCAAGCAAAATTATTAATGTATGGTTTTGTAATGAGTCGATCCAAGTGGCCTTACAACTACTGAAAAACTGCGGGATTTTTTGCATGCCTTTACTTTAGCATAGTATATACTAAGAATATAATTTTAGTGTATTTTAATGTTCTAATGTCACACTTGGAAAAAATACATCTTCCTGCATCGCAAATCTTGTTTAAAAGCAGATGATTTTGTGTTTTGGATGGAAATTCTTCTTTAGTCTAATTGTGGAATGAAAAACAAATGCTCGAAAAGCATCCAATAATGAATTAAGCCTAAATCTGTACTGACACGTCGTTGACTTAAAAATTAAACTCCAGCTAGAGATAATACCCCAAATGTGATTTTGAAGACTACTTGACTAAAATTACAGTATTTTTATAATAAGACAGGTAAATATATAACAAAACGAAAGCTTCTCAATGTAGAATTTAATAGCACAGTTTCTGTGGCTGTGTAAATTTGATTTCTGAAAGTGCATTCACTTCTGCATTCAGTCACTTCTGTAATTGGTTCAGTCATTTGCATGTTAACAACATACAATCTGTAACAGATTTCAAATGTGATATGTTTTAATGTGCAGTAGAATAAAACAGGTTATAATGTGTTGTTTGGTTATAAGAGCTTGGTCTACACTTCAGCTGTTCAAGACTGAAGGCAGTGAAGCTGTCTAGGACAGTGTGCCTCAACTCAGCCTGGGTGCTACATATGTTTTGTGACCTCACAAAATACAACTGAGGGCTACTTCACATTTTTGCCTGTCTTATAACATAATCGCTCACCACTTGCTGCTGTATTATGTACTACTCGTAGAACATAAGCACTCTACTTACTTTGCTTTGAGTAATAGATCATTTGCTATGTTTCCTTCAAGTTCTGAAGTCCACCTCACTTTTAACTTTGAAGAGGTTGTAACAGTCTGTTATGTTTTGATCTCTGTCATCTATTGATACTCTTTCTTCCAAGAAAGAGTAAGCTTAAAACAATTAAACCATGTTGTTTTGGTATTTGTATGTCTCCATCTGTGCCTTTTAACTCACCTTTTAAATCTATGTAAGACATTTTCACAAGAGAGCAGTTTTAATAGCCCATACAACAGTTTACTTACAAATCCTAGAAAATTAGGAAATACCTTAATCATATCCACTGTGAATTAGGAATCAATATCGGTGTGTTTGTAACAGATTGCTGGCTATGGTGCTGGATTAAAAGGTGGTGTTAAATGAAGAAGGCTAAGCAAAATAATGGCCAAGGCAGCAGTTCTAGGATATAATGGGGTTACTATTTATTACTCCATCCTGGCCAAATTTGGTTTTTCTTTTTTTCTCCCAAAGTTTGAACTTATATCAATGGTGTTAGTTCATTGCAAGACTCCACACTAAAAAGTGACAGAAATGGGGCAAGTTTAATTCAGCATTACACAGTAAGTGAAAGTTATCAACTTTGTAAGGGAAAAAGTACAGGCTCTAAGCAGGCCAGTATAATGCAAACCCAAAAATGGATTTAAATGGGTTACATAGAATGTGCCAAAGATCATTAAGAAATTAAGGGTCAGTCATCTTTATTGCCTTTATTTTTTATTGTTAGTCTTGCTTTTTTGCTTGATAAATGCATGCTTATGTTTTGAAGATGCTCATTCTTCATTACAGGGTGTTTATTCTACTGCCAGTGTATTAATCAAAATGCCTGCATGTGCCATGCCCAGTCATATCTGTCTCACAGTGACAGATACAGAGTGATTTAATGATATGATTTCCTTCAGAGAACAATGAAAAAAAGCGGGGAAGCTTACCTGTGACTAGGTTTACTTCAGGGAAATAGATGTGTACAACACAGGTTGCCCATAATCATCACGCCTGTTAGGGAAATAAATAAAACACCTAAAACATCCTGCTCCTTTCTGTCATTTGTACTTAACTGGCCTCAGATGTTAGACTTACTTTAACATATCACAGCAACTGTCTCTGTTTCCATGAATCACTGGGGGAAAAAAAGGAGAGTAATTCCAGGGGGACCTTGTTCTGTCCTGAAGGCACTAATCTTAGCACCTTAATCCTGTTGGTTTTCCTGATTATAATGCCTGTTAACCATGTATCCTGAATCAGTATCACTTGGAGCAGGATTATTCCAGAAAACTGAGAAGTCAGTCGTGATTAGGATGTCAAAACTTCTTGTGTTCTAATTATGGATATATTTTATTTACAGAACTCAATAAAGTGTGTGCCACCTGCAAGCCACAGGTGCCTGCCCCACACTTCTCTTGTTAATCTGGTTTTGGTGGTAAACATGAGTAGTGAAGAGAAATAAACAAGTCACTTTGAGGAGTCTGGTTTGGGCCTCTTCTTTACAATAAGGAAAGCTGAAAATTCCAGCCCCTTCCTAAATGTTTTGAAGTTATGTTATGGCTGTAACTGTATGTCACTGCTTTTAAAAGTAGAAAAGGAAAGCACTTACATGGTCATATACAATTGTTTCTTCATTATTATTTATTTGCAAGACTAATCAGTCTTAGCCTTCATTATGCAAAAATGCATGCATTTATTAATTTTTTAATTATAAACTTTCTTAAGGTTGAATTGCTTTCTAAACCCTCTGACGAAGATAGCTGGATAATGCTGGTACTTGATCACCAATCACATGGATACAGTGGTATTTTCCCTTTCCTACAGAATCCTGTATGGTGCTAAGCAAATAGGAAAAAAATTAAGAAATATTTTAAATACATGTTTGAGCAACTTTCAAAAACTAAGTAGTTCTTGCAGTAGTGAACTGCATGAATTTGAAACGAAGTCTCTGGAAAAAGTCTAATGAAGTCTGTACATTTCCATCCTACCACTGATTTTCTGTGTAGATTGTCTGTCATTTAACATGGGAGTAAGTTTTTAATTCAAGGTATTCAAGGCTATTGAGGTATTGCTAAAGCCATTTTATTTAGTCACTAGTTTTTGTGAAACATCTTCCACCCTCTCTAAACTTTGCTATTGCCCAACAGATTAATAATGTAGTGCAAGGGAGAGAAATAGTACAATTATTTTCACAATGGTTTAGGAAACTAAAAGATACAAAATACTTGCATTCAGCCAGTACACTGGATATACTTGTCTTGTAGCATCCTACAGATCATGAATGGATATTCATTTCATTGCTGTTGTCTTTTCTTCATTATAAAATAGGCAGTAAGAAGATGTGTAGTTACTTCAGATTTTTTGTATTTAGATTATTAATTTTCTTCTGTGTGTTTTGTTTTAAATAGAAGTAGTTCTTTAGCTATCATGAACATACAAACCTAGCCTATGACTTCATTTAATTTCATGGCAAAGTACTGAGAAATTGCCAGTTAGGCTTTTCTGTACAGAATCCTCTGTGATTTGAAGTTACATGACTAACATAGCAAGTTTCTTTATAACCTACTCTGTAGATGGAGTTGAAAGCCCTAGATGCAAAGGCAGTGTTGCTAAAATATGACTGGAGGAAAAATACTGAGCAATACATGAGCATCCTACTAATGAAACTGCATCAAGCATAGTAACCTTAAGCAATGTCAAGCTACTGCCAGCTCATTCAGACATGATCCTTAATAAAACTCATTAACTTGCTGCCTGGTGTTGCAGTCCTCAATCCTAGGACGAGAGCATTCACAGCCTATGCTCTTCAACAAGAGTGATGAAGAATGCTGCAGTGAGGTTTCCCTGAGGCATTAGGAATATCTTGAAAAGGTATTTCCTCCAAGGTCTCTGACAACTCATGCTCTATCAAATACCAGCAAGCTCAACGGAAAGCACAGAAACTATTGTCTTTCACATTAAGTAGCCCTGGTGAAGAAGCAGAGGTGAGAATAACTGTTCCAAACTATTTGTTACCCAGTCTCTTAAGTGCTTGCGTTTAGCAGCTGCCGTTAGAGGTTATGTGCTTTAGACAGTTGCAAAAGGGTCTTGAAAATAAACCCCTAAAGGTGGCCATCATAATGTCTGCCTTTGATTAGGGGGAGCTAGATGGGGTGCCACAGTAACTGATGGTTCAGTTAAATTTGAAACTGAAGCATGTGGAAACACAGGAATTTTCCAACTAGACTGACAAATCAGCCTGCTATCTGGGAACTTCTCTTGAAATTCCCTGGTAAAAGCTCTGAGATAGAAACATCTGACATTTTACTGCTTTTAGAGACTGGAAAAAATATTGGGCATGGGCATCAAAGTATAAAATAAATTATATTAGTTTATATTAGTTTAGTTAATAAATTATATTAGTTTACAAGCTGAGTCATCAGGTCAGTCACTCCCAGGTCAGGAGGCACTTTCCTTATTGCCTTGTCCTGGTAGTGCTTTTGCACATGACTACAGGTTTCCAGTCACTGAAAACAATTCCCTTATCTAGAAAACTACTTACAATCCATAAGTAAGTTCACCTAATGTGATGCGTACTTTCAGAAGAAGTCCACAAGATAAACAAACTCAAGAGTGCTGCTCTCTCAAAATGCAAGGTGTGGTTATCCCTGCACAACTTGTCTGTAAAAAAATAGTAGGTAAAACTTCAACTGAGGGAAAAACAGGTCCAGGTTTTGTTCTTCAGGAATTTCAGATTATCAGTCTCCACTTTTGCAGATTGCATCCTACTAACACCTGGATGATGGTGCCTACTGTTGAAGAGGTACCACTGCCTAAACACGTAAGGCTGGACTAAGAAGGAAGGTCAAGTGTAGACAACTATGCTAGTTTTGGCTGGGGTAGAGTTAATTCTCTTCACAGTGGCTGTTATGGGACTGTGTTTGGGATTTGTGCTGAACACAGGGTTGATAATATGGGTATGTTTTTGTTATTGCTGAGCAGTGCTTGCACAGAGCCAAGGCCTTTTCTGCTTTCCATACTGTCACACTGGTGAAGAAGTTGAGAGTTCATGGGAGGTTGGAAGGAGGCAAAGCCAGGACAGGTGATCCCAAGCTGACCAAAGGGATATTCCAGACCATATGACATCATTCTCAGTATATAAAGTGGGGAAGAAGAAGGATTAAGGATGGAGATTTTTGGAATGATGGTGTTTGTCTTCCTGGGTTGGGTGCGATGGGGCCCTGCTCTCCCGGGGATGGCTCGACACCTGCCTGCCCACAGGAAGCAGTGCATTAACTCTTTGTTTTGCTTTGCTTGTGTGTATGACTCTTTCTTTCCCTATTAAACTCCCTTTATCTCAACTCATGAGTTTTCTGAATTTTACCCTTCCAATTCTCTTCCTGATCCTGCTGGTAGGGGAGTGAGTGAGTGGTGGAGTGGGGCTTGGTGGCTGGCTGGGGTTTAACCACCATAACATGTTCACAAGTTGCTCCCAATTTTAGACCTGCACAACCTCATTGTAGATCCAACTCAGTGTAAAACACCAAGTACTCCTTGAAGAGGTGATTGGAGACTATGTCTCCACTGCCAGCACAAGTGACTCAATCACCTTTGTAGACACATTAGGAGTCTGTAGACTCAGGTCTTCTCTGTGCCCTCCTTCCAGATTAAGTTTGAGGTTTTTTTTCTTCTATATGCTAACAATACTCCTGGGATAGAAAGCATAGCCCTTATGCAAAAGGATCTACAGAAAACAGCTTCAAGATATTTTAAGAGAGATG